ACAATCTGTAAGGTTCATCTTTTTTTTTTTTTTTTCCCAGAAAGGCTGTTTAAACACAGTATATGGTATTGGTCTCAGAGAAAGCTAACTTGACTTGTATTGCTTTTGTCTGTTATATTACTGCTAACTAGTATAAGTGAAAATGTGACCTGCTTGTAGTGACATTGTATCTGATTAAGTGTGTTGTTACTTTGTCGCAGTGACTCTCAACCAAATGTAGAGAGCCTGTAAAAATTATAGAGGGGGGAAAAATCAGCTCAGTTCTAGTGAACATTTATTGAGTGCTTTCGATGGACAGAGGACTGTTACAGATAGAGTAGAGTTGAGGGAAAGAAAATTTGTACGCATATTGGTGACTCTTCTCTTGAAAAAAATCTATAATTAAAACATGTGAGTCATAGTTAGTAATTAAGCTTTATCCTATTTGGAGTGATCTGGGTTTTGTAAGAATAGAATGTATACTTACACTAATTTTTTTCAGATTTAGAAAAAACATATTGTTAGTACAGTTTAAATTTTTTTCCTAAAATCTTAATAGTATTTAGAACATTTTAGTTAGAATTATATTCTTTTAGTATGATTCTCTAAAAAGCACATCTGTACATTCTTGAACTAAGACATGTTATAAAATTGTCTCTACTATACTTAATCGTCCTTCTTTCTAAAACCATAGAGGACCTCAGTTCTCATTTATCTAGTTTTGAGTTATCTAGGACCCTTGCTTCATGAAATTTCTATTTTCCAAACTTGGTCATTTTACTATTTAAATACCTTCATTAGATAATGTAGGGTTAGGGGGTGGGGTAGGGAGATAGGAGGTATAACTTATGAGAGTTTTGCTACTTATAAACAGTTTGGTTAATGCAATTGGTCAAGTTTGAAATTAATGGCTAGGATTATTTTAAAAATCTGTATACTGTATTTCGTTTATTTGTTCTCCCTTTCTTCGTGATCTTAGAGCAAAGAATTTCCTTTTATTTTGACTAATTCACATTCTTCTCTTGAAGTTAGAGCCCAGTTTTCCCCTCAAATTAAATATTCTCCTGGTAATAAAATTAAGTATGTAAGGAGAGCTTAACTTTTTCACTTAATTATGCATCTTAATTCACAGCAATAATACTATCCTTAACTTAGTACTAGTGAGACTTTAGGTACCAGAAGGAATAGTGTTTAGTGGGTTTGAAGAACACGGTTTGTAATAAATCCATTGGCTTTAGGCTGGACCTTGTCTTACTTTGCTTGATTCAGGGTTGGCAATGGAATTAGAGGGGACGATAACTTTAAAAATACTTGTACCTTGCAAAGTAAAAATAATGAATTGTTAAAAATAAATGCTTCCTGACTTCTCTTTGTAGTTCTAGTATGACATAGACCCTAACATATAGGAGCTGTTTAATTGTTGAATTAAGTCTTTTATAGTCCTGTGAAGAAAAGGTGATAGATATCTGAAGGTAGAGCATAATTTTAATATGAACCAAAGAAACTAAATCTAAGCATACCCTATATGTAAGAATTGTATTAATATCATTGATTCTATTTGGTATGATTTTCAAGACACATAGAAAATAGGGAACTCAGTGACAAGCTGTATATCTGTCATACGAGGACCAGTTTCTTTGAGTTCATCACCAGAAGGTTGGCCATCAGGTAATGATTTTTTTCAGCTAAGGCACCTAATCCAGTGTTATCTAAAGAAGTAGTCACTAAACTTTGAATGTTTCCCTATCAGTAAAATAATTTTTGAGCACTCATTCTTTAGTCTTCTTAAGACCCAGCTCTAACAGTAAAACTACTTTTCCTGTGCCCTTAGGCACTAGAGCTTCCCCCTAAATTGTCTTCTATCTGTTTTGTATATATTGTATATGTCTATATATGTATACATTGTCTAACAGTCAACTAGCATTTTTTAAGCGCCTATTATGTGGCATGCACTGTACTAAATGCTGGGTGTAAAGAGAAATGTAAAAAAAAAAAGTCACTGCTTTCAGAGAACTCACAGAGTTCTCACAGAGGAAGACAACATACAAACAAGTATGTTTCCAAGATATATACAGGGTAAGCTGGGGGTAATGTCAAAAGGAAGACACAGATTAAGTAGGAATGGCAAAAGTTTCTTGCAAAAGGAAGTTAGGGATCCTGAGAGTCAGAGATGAAGAGGAACAGTGTTCCAGACATTAGGGATAGTCAGTGTAAACACTCAGAATTAGGAGGTTTAGTTTTATGTGGGAGAAACAGTAAGGAGGCGAGCGTCATTGGATCATAGAATATTTTGAGCAGAGTAAAGTGTAAGAAGACTGGAAAGGAAAGAAGGGGCCAGATTATGAAGGGCTTTGAAAGCCACAAAGAGAATTTCATATTTGATCCTGGAGGTGATAGGGAGCTACTAAAGTTTACTGAAGGGAGTGGGGGCAGCTGCTGACAGTCAGACCTGTACTTCAAGGAGCTTAATTTGATTGGTGAGTGGAAAAAGGATGGATGAGTGAGGAGGGACTTGTGTCAGGGATATCAACCAATAGACTGTTTCAGTAGTCCAGGTGTAAGGTAATGAGGGCCACTGCACTAGGGTAATGGCAGTATCAGAGAAGAGAAGGGAGAGTATATAAGTGATGGTGATAAGGTAGATTTGATAGGGCTTGGCAACAGATTAAATATGGGGAGAGGAAGTGAGAAAGTGAGGAGTTAAGGATAGTACTTAGGATGGGAGCCTGGTGACTAGGAAAATGATATTGTCCCTTAGAGTAATAGGGAACTTAGGAAGAGAGGTGGGTTTGGAAGGGAAGATGATGAGTTCAGTTTTGAACATGTTGAACTGAAAATATGTATAGGACATTCAATTCAAGATGTCAAATAAGCAGTTGAAATTGGGAGGCTGCAGGTAAGGAAAGGTGAGGGTTGGATAGAGAGATTTCATAATCAAGATAGAGATGATATTTGAGTCCATAGGAAGTAAGATGATTATTGAAAGTAGTAGAAAAGAAGAGAGCCCAGGGCAGAGCCTTGAGCGACATCCATGATTAACAGTCATGACCTGGATGAAGATCCAGCAAAGGAGACAGAGAAGGAATGGTCAGACAGGTAGGAGGAGAATTGAGGGATGAAAAGATGAAAGGTCACAGTATGGATGAAGAATAGGGTTGAGATTGCAAGGTAGAGATAGAGGCAGAGGTGGGACAACAACAGTTTGTGATTAGTTAAAGAATTTTCAGAGATCTTGAACATGGAAGTGGGATACTTATGGGTGATGGCAACATCAATGGCAAAATGATATTCAGGATCATGGATATGACTATGTGTATCTTAGGTTTGGTTGGGGAGTAGGTCTTTGGAAATGAGTAAGTTAAGGAACTGAGAGGTTATGATAGTTGAAACAGTACCACCTCCTTTCTTTTCCTCCCCCCCCATACACACACACACACACACACACATAGATGCATGTATACACACAAACATACATACATAAGTGTGTGTGTGTTGAAGTCCTCTAGTAGGAGGGCAGGATGTGGGGAGGAGACAGACTGAGCCAAGCACTGAACTCTTTGAGGAAAGAATAAGAGTGCCCTGGAGATAAAAGCTACCAGAACTTTGATTGGGTGGTAGATATGGACTGAATGAACCTCAGAGGAGGAGAGTTTACCAAGTGATGGTGGGAGAAGGAGAGCATGGTAGTGGCTATAGGGACTAAGAAGTAGTAGAAATCTGCCACCTTGGCCAGTGAGTGAAAGTGCCATCAGTGCTAGGAAGGGTGGCCAGGGAAGCAGGTCTTGGTGAATATAAGATGATGGAAGAAATGAGAAGGAAAAAGGTTTAAGGTGAAAGCAAGTTTGTTACCTATGAAGCAGACATTCTAAAGAACATGTTGGAAGAGGTGGGTAGCTTTAGAGTGGGACATTGTTGGAGGAAATGAAGGGGGTTGGGAATAAGGGATCCGTCCATAGGAGTCTGTTAATCATTGAAGTATGAATTCAAGTAGGTTATCATCCTTAGGACTTTAAGTTAGTTAAAGTTTAAGGGCTTGAGTTAGAAATGTATATCTATAAGATGGAAAGGGTGGGTGGTGCAGGTGGGAGTACTGAGGAGTGCAGTGGAATGGCTGGTGCAGAATGGCTATGGCCTATGAAAGAAAGGTCAGATTTACCATATATTTGCCAGCTGTAAATAAATTGAGAAGTGCCTAAATAGTGAAACATTTAAAGCTCAATTCTTTCAGTAGAAATTAAAGTTTTTGAAATGATAAGGGTAACTATACAGGCAAAGGAATTTTTCTTCCTCCTGTGTATATTCTTAGTACTACTACTGAAAAATGCTGGCAGTGTTCTTAATTGCCTCAGCTTTACAATCCCCACATGGAATATGACTGATAAGCACTGGCAGAGGTGAAGATATTAGTGTAGAACAGCTGCAGTTCAGCTACATAGGTCAAAAGACTTACACCTGCTTTGGGATTGCTGTAATTTTTCTACTTTCCCTGCTTGCTAATATTGCACTTGAGAAAACTGCTGGTTATTCCTCCTTCTGGCCAGGCATAAGCACACTAGAATGATGCAGAACCTAATATTAAACCCAAATCTGTGAGTTTACATCGAAGAATGTAGTTAAATGGTTTGTCAATGGACAGTTTTCAGTTGGATTACCAGGTACCACTTAAAGCTCTTCTGCTTCCTGTTTTAGATTGTAAGCTCCTATGAGGCAGTAACTTTTGTTTTGTTTGTTGTAGAGAGCCCAGCATGGTGCATAGAATCATGAAAATACTAGAAGGATAAGTGATTTTGGAGGTCAAACATCAGTGACTTAGAAGAGACCTAAGGAGCTGCCTGAGCCCACATAGTGGTTAAGTGCTTGCAATGATTCCTGCCTGCAAGCATAATACTGTCTCCAGTATGCCATACTGTATGCATGCAGGACAATTATTTGTTGATGATTTATGACAGATTTGGAACAGATGTGTATATCTTTCGTTCTGAAGTATAACACTACTGTATCTTTTTTTTTCCTTGTAATAGAACGAGGGAAGACAAAGTAAAGTACTACAGTGTATTCAAAAATTTTGTGAATTCCTTGGCTTCATACTTTGGGCTGTAAGTCTTCAAGATCCTTTCTCTTTTTTATATTCTTCAGTATAGGAGTTTCCCTTTTTCCTTCTCTGTGTGTGTGTATGTGTGCGCGCGCGCATGCGTGTGTAATGCACTTGGCTTACCAAATCAAGGAACTCTTATGGCCTATCTTACCAACACCCTTATAGATTGTGAGCATATTTGGGTCAAATTGATGATCTGTGTCCTAATCACGGCAAGCTTAATCTTAATTTGTAGATTATTGGAGAAATCATATATAAACTTGTATAAAATTATCTAATAATACTAAGCTAGCAAACATTTTTTTGATTAAAATATAATGCAGTGCTAATTTGACATTGTGTTTTGTAATTTTAATAATTTATGACTACTATTCTTAAAAATTATTTTCAGCTGCTTAAAGCTCTGTTCTTTCTGATATAATAGATAATTCATGCCTTTTTACTTCAAGGTTTACATGATTATATCTGCATTTCTAAACAAGAAAGATGAAAATACTACACTACTATAAATAGAAATGTTTATGGGTTGGAAGGTGGTTTGGAGAACTTCTTAGAAACAATTGAATTTCATAGACATCTAAGCTCCTATTTAAGATTTTGACTGTTTGACCTTCTGTACATCTTTAGGTGGAACATTAGTAAATTTTACTATCTAGCTATAATGATTTTCATAACTAGCAAGGGTACATAACCTTGAATTTATCTACTGTCTTTTTAAGTTTAGAAACAATGTTAATACTGAAATGACCTCTTTTAATTTCACATAGAACGATGTCAGCTGAATTACCACTAAATATTAATATCAAGGAACCACGATGGGATCAAAGCACTTTTATTGGAAGAGCTAGTCATTTTTTTACTGTAACTGACCCACGAAATATTTTGTTAACTAATGAACAACTAGAAAATGCAAGACAAATTGTTCATGATTACAGGTAACATTTATAGCTTTAATGTTTTCTGACTTGGTCACATTTATGTAAAAAAAGTTATAGTTAAATCTTATCTCAAGAAGTCATCTGTTTTTGCCATCCATATCTATTGGGTTTCATGTTAATCATCTCAGAGTCTTATTCAGCCACTCTCTTTAAACATTTGATAAATGTTGTCTGATGAAAGACATACCTGGGATGGGAGTTGGGGCAGGAAGAGTCATCCTTGACCTCAAGGAGCTTGTCATCTTTAAGGGGTAAGACACCTATGCAAGTAATTAGTATTAATTTATAAAAGCATATGAGAAGCCACATAAAAAGCCATCATAAAAATTATTATACCCTATATACCAACATGAATTGCAGAGAATAGTTACAAAACTTCTACAAATATATTTTTTTAAGATCCTTTAAATCAAATCAACATAAATTTTGGTACTCAGGGATTTTATTGCAAATGTGGAAATAGATATAGATGGCAAAAATTATATTGGAAAATATACTTTAAGAAAAAGGAATGATAGCACAAAGTCTTATAGACTACATAGAAATCTAATGCCAATGTATCATGTGTGCTTTTTTAGAGAAAAAAACAAAACTGGAAAGCACTGGATGTGATGATTGCCAAATCATATCACAAAATGTAATTACTAGTAACTAATTAAGTTAATAACATGTTCTTGATGTGGTGTTTTTTTTTTGTTTTTTTGTTTTTTGTTTTTTTTTGCAATTTGTTTTAGAAAAGGAATTATACCACCTGGGCTTACAGAAAATGAATTATGGAGAGCAAAGTATGTTTATGATTCAGCTTTTCATCCTGACACTGGTGAAAAGATGATTTTGATAGGAAGAATGTCAGCTCAGGTTCCCATGAACATGACAATCACAGGCTGTATGATGACTTTTTATAGGTAAGTTATAGAACACCCAGTCATTCAAGTAAGTTTGATACAAACCATATTGATAAAATATAATTGAAACTGAAGTATTGCTTTTTTAATGTGTATTTAGTGTTCCTTTTTGTATTACTGCTGCACTAGAAGAATCCTTTTTTCTACTGAATCTCATTTAATGAAGAGGGATAGAATTTTGTCTAATCCTATTTATAAAGGAAAGGTTGGAGGGGAAGAAAAAGAAAAGTCTACCAGAAAATCATCATTTTCACAATTTTTTTCCCATTTATAGGCCTGTACTTATATAAAGGCAAAATAAGCTTGTAAGATTTCTTTGGCTTTCTGGGTTTACAAGTGGATCAATAAAACTCTGAAATTCTAAAAATATGAATTTTATTAGCTTAAAGCATTGATTCCTTAATCAAATGTGAATACCCCTAGAGGAGTAACACTTTTATATCTTAGTGTGAATAATTTTGCTAGGCCCTTAACTAAGATCTGGTTTTGATTGGAAAGAAAATAACCTAAATGAGCATTGGAGGCTTGAGGAGACAAAGGAACACAGAAGGGAGAACCAAAATATCCAAAGATATTTATAATTGTGCTTCTGGCCAGTACTAATTTATAAGTCTGCAATTAGTATTTATATCACATTTTATTTATTTACTTATTTAATTTTTTTTTTGGTAAGGCAATTGGGGTTAAGTGACTTGCCCAAGGTCACACAGCTAGTAGGTGTCAAGTGTTTGGTCTAAGGCCGGATTTGAACTCAAGTCCTCCTGACTTCAGGGCCAGTGCTCTATCCGCTGCGCCACCTAGCTGCCCCAACATCACCTTTTTAGTGTGCTGTTTTTTTCAAGGTTCTTGGTTCCTTAGCTTTTTCTTTTTCTTTTTTTTTGGTAAGAAGTATTGTATTTTTTACACTCTTTTTCTCTTTCACTTCCCTTCCCTCCTTCCTCATACCCTCAGAACTACCCCTGCGGTGCTTTTCTGGCAGTGGATTAACCAGTCCTTCAATGCTGTTGTGAATTATACAAATAGGAGTGGTGATGCCCCTATCTCAGTTAGGTAAGACTATGTAATCTATTGTAATAAATATTAGTTTTTAAGTTGCTACCTAAAAATTACCTAATTTGTGTATCAGTTTACTGTGTGAGTTATTTTAAAAGAACTCTTTTACATTGTTAGATTTTTCAGAATATCTTTCTAGCATAATATTAAATAAAAGGTATCTACAGAACTAAATTCCCATTCTATGTCAAAATAGTTTGTTAACATGCCTTCATAGATTCGTTGTTGTTATTCTGTCATTTCAGTTGTATCCAACTCTTCATGACCCCATTTGAGGTTTTCTTGGCAAAGATACTAGAGTGGTTTGCCATTTCCTTCTCCAGTTCATTTTATAGATGAGGAAAGTGACAGTCAAATTCAGCTTCCTGAAGTACAGGTCTGACTGTCAGCTGCTGCCCCCACTCCCTTCAGTAAACTTCAGTAGCTCTCTATCACCTCCAGGATCAAATATAAAATTCTCTCTGTGGCTTTCAAAGCCCTTCATAATTTGGCCCCTTCTCTTCTTACACTTTACTCTGCTCTAAATATTCTACCCTCTGTCTTGCTCTTTTTTTTTTTTTTTTTTTTTTTGGTGAGGCAATTGGGGTTAAGTGACTTGCCCAAGGTCACACAGCTAGTAAGTGTCAAGTATCTTGAGGTCAGATTTGAACTCAGGTCCTCCTGACTCCAAAGTCTGAGCTCTATCCACTGCACCACCTAGCTGCCCCAATCTTGCTCTTTCTTAATCTCAATCTTCCTCTACCCCTTCTCCTCTTTCTACTTCTTCCCCAATTCCCTTTCTCTTCTTTTTATATATTATATACATGCATATGTGTATGACTGTATGCATCAATGCATAGCTTAAAACTGCACTAAGACTTTTGGAATACCCTGCAAATATGTCTCCAGCCCTTCTCTACACAGAGCTTCACTACTTTATCACTAATTGCCTAATAGATATTTAAAACCAGAGATCCTGACGACATTTCACACTCAATATGTCCAATATAGAATTAATTATATTTCCCTTCAAACTCTCTAAATTTTCCCATTTCTTTTCAAGGTGCCATGATCTTTCTAGTCTCTTTGAATTATAAATCTCAGCATTTTCCTTCACTTCTTTCTTTCCCTCTCAAATATCAAATCAGATGCGAAATCTTGACATTCTCCCTCCACATCTCTTCTCCACTCATGAAGTTACTACCATAATTTAGCCCCTCACTACCTCTTGACCAGATTGTTAGAAATAACAATTTCCAGTTATTTTTTCAAGTTTTCAGGGGAAGTCTCAAATCATGCTCTACTCCAGTCCAGCTAATAAACTTCTGCCGAAGTAATTTTTCTTAAGTACATATGTGAACATGTAACTCCCCCACTCGATAAACTCCAGTGGGGTTCCTATTGATTCTAAGGTAAATTATAAACTCCTCTGTTAACTCTTTCTTTACAACCTGGCCCCTGCTTGTCTTTCTAGTCTTATTGTATATCACTCTCCCTCCTGTATTCCATGATTCCGCTGTCCCAGCTGTGTCTCCCTGTTCCTCATACATGACTAACCCGTCTGTATGCCATTATGCTTGGAAGTCACTCCCTCCTGTCCTCTGCCTCATGGAGTTCCTCTCCTCCTTTAAGATGGCAGCTTAAGCACCATCTGCTTCAGGAACGCTTTCCTGATTTTCCCCAACTGCTAGTGCTGCCCCTTCCAAACTACCTTGAATTTAATTACTTTTTCTTTAATATTATTTATTTACTCTGTAGTTTCTGTATATTTTTATGTATGTACTTATCTTCCCCCATTAGAACATAAAGTCCTTGCCCTAAGGATTGTTTCAATCTTTGCCCTTGTATCCCCAGTGCCTGGCATATAGAAGGCACTTAATAAATTTTGTTTGATTGATATTTGAGAAGGATATAGCGTGATGAGAGAGTTCTGTGTTATTGACTTGGATTCTGTTTATTCTTTTTGTCCATAATTGTTGGCTAAAGTATTGCAGTACTTTTTATTACATGAGTGTGATATATGTGTTCTTCTTTGCAGCCAACTGGGGACAGCATATGTATCTGCCACCACTGGTGCTGTAGTAACCGCACTGGGACTTAACGCACTAACCAAGGTATTTTTCATTTTTCCGCAGTTAAACTTTTTGGCATCTTTTCTTTCCCATCTGATTCTGTAACTTTTCCCCAGGCCTTTTCCATCCAGTATTCCTTCTCGCTATAATCAATGCCTAATGCCTATTGGACCTATCTCTTTTATTATGATGCCAAACAAGTAGATTTGAGAATAATTTAAACATCTTAATCAAATATGTGTATGTATATTTTCATCATATATATGTTTGTGTATATGTGTATGTATATGTATATGCCAAGTATATAAAAATATCATTACGTGAAACAGTGTTGAAAACTAAAACTTGAAATTTTGTGCTCTCCTGAAAGCGTATATAATAGAATATAAAATAATTATAATCTCTTCTAATATATGGCACCATTCCTGAACTCATCCTGCCTATATTCATCTTGTACATTATCCTTATGTCAGAATATACACTTCTGTCGTGTCTACTGCCTTTTGACATCCCATATCCTTCACTGTGTAGCATTCAATCCCATTTCCTCCATGGAGATTTTCCTGACACAAAACAAAACCAGAAGTGATGTCAATCTCTGGCTATATAGCTGCCACAGACAGAAATAAACACAGCCAAGAGAATAGGGAAAATATTCAGAAAGTGTTGCCGAGGACACATCTATTGTTAACTTTGTTGATGCAAAGTCATCATCAACTATCCTGTCAGTATTCTTTCAAGTTCTTGGACAGCACAGTTTGAGGCAAAGAATTTCCCCAGGGACATAGCATAGAACATAGGCACATAGAAAATCACACTTGAATGCCAAAGTATTTGAGTCACCATGCTCTACCATAAAGTATTCATCCGGTTCTTCTTGCCTTCCTTCCTAGATAGTCAGTTCTGCAACCACAATATAGTGTATGTAGTCATTAGAGTATGATAACTTTTAAGTCTACTGATTCTGCCTTCCTGCCCCGTAACTTATCCTTATTGCTTCCTCTGCTGTGGTAATAGTACTCTATTCTTCCTCAGACCTTTTTTTTTTTTTTTTTTTTTTAGCGTTTATACATGTATTTGTGTTCTTATTATATTTTATACTATATATTCATTTTACTGTCCATACTAGTTTTTAAGCTCCATTAGGCCAGGAACAATACAAGGACAGGAACTATTTTGTTTTTTTGTCTGTATCTTCTTTAGTGCCTCGGATGGGTCCTTCTATATAGTAGAAAATTAATAAATGTTTAATGAGCTAAGTTGAACTTAATTTATGGGATTATAATTCTAAATAGTTTTTTTATGGAGAAATATAGTATTCATTCAATATTGCAGAGGTATTAAAATGATTTTGAAATTTTCTTTTCTTTAGCATGTCTCACCCCTTATAGGACGTTTGGTTCCTTTTGCTGCTGTAGCTGCTGCTAATTGCATTAATATTCCATTAATGAGACAAAGGTAAGATTATTATACTCTTTTGAAATAGAATTGTCCCTTCTGAATCTGAGCTTGTATTAGGTAGTAGGCACAATCTCTAAAAAAGTTTGGTGCCCTCATGTTTTTTTTTTTTAAAGGTATTTTGAGACATAAATTTAGTTATGTGAGACATTAGATCTAGGCAAAAGAAGTCTGCTGCCCAAAACAGTTTTTCAAAAAAAATTTCCTAGGCTACCTGTTTTAGGCTTAAAGTAATATTAATTTATATTTTTGGAAGTATTTTTTTAGAACTGGCAAAAGTTAAAGGAGAAGAAAGAACAAGAAAAGGCATTTTGGATCGGATTACAAGCACCAGGGTAAAAGTGAGATTTAGAACTTTAGTGTTAGTACCTGTTAACAGAGTGTGTTGTATCCACTAGTACTATATAAGTTTTTGTAGCAGTATGGAAAGGATTAAATCATTGTAATCCAGCATACTATCTCTTTTGAGTAACTATGGGTTACATTTTGTTCATGAGCAAAGATTTTTTTTTTTTATTTCACTTGTGATTTCATTGGTATAGGTGATTTTCAGTGAGGAAACTCCCTTTACCAAAGGAGATTGGAAACTGCTATACAGTGTGGAGCCTTAGAGGATTTCCTGGGGCACTGAGATGTTAAAGGACTCACCCAATGTGACCCAGCCAACATGTGACCAACTCTCAAGTTGGCTCTCCATCCACTACTCCATACCTGCCTCTAAGGTGTTATCTTAGGTTTCTCTAAAAGATATAATCTTGGCCTTAAAGTGGCATGTTATTAATTAAATTCTTTTTGGTGCAATGTAACAGTTTAAAAATGATGGACTTTTATAATATTTTATTTTTGTCACACCAAAGATAAAATTTGTAATATTTTGAAAAAAATAATTATAATACTTTTCTGACAGATAATTCATAAATGTGTATTTAGGTCAGAATATAATATTAATTTTAGTCCATAAAATGCAAAGGTATATGTAATCTTTTTTTTTTATTGTTTTTCTACAGGGAGCTCAAAGTTGGTATTCCTGTTACAGATGAAAATGGAAACCGATTAGGTGAATCAGTCAATGCTGCACAACAAGCTATCGCACAAGTGGTGGTCTCGAGAATTCTTATGGCAGCCCCTGGCATGGGTTTGTACAGTTCATTAGAAACTTAATCCAAAAAAAAAAACCAGAAAGAAACTTAATCCTTTTCTTTTTTTTTGAGGTGAGGGGGAGATTAGATTTAAAAAAAACCATTAATAGAAATATCTAAATTTTAGGGAAAGGATTAAGTCCTACCAATGAATTATTTTACTCAAGTGGAATCCCAAGGATTATGGCCTAAACTAGGGCTCTTAAAACATTTTATTAATGGTTTCTAAAACTACGCAGTTTTAGCCTTAGACTAGGAATCCATTTAACCTAGAAATGAGCCTCTGCTCTGATTATAAATCATTTGGAGGTCTGTCAGTTCATATTTAAAGCCACTCCAGGGTATAACTAGAGGATAACTGAAACAGAAAAAAATAACTTAGCTAAGGGCAATGTGCTAAGTTCTTTTCAAAATGTTATCTAAGGAAAATACAAGGTTATCTCAATTATAATCAATCATACCATCTTGAACATTTTTATAATCTTTATCAGACTACAGTTATAGCAACTTTCCAGAGGTTCCAAATGTCTTTTTTTGTTTTTTTTTTTTCTGGTGAGGCAATTTGGGATAAGTGACTTGCCCAGGGTCACACAACTAGTAAGTGTCAAGTGTCTGAGGTTGGATTTGAACTCAGGTCCTCCTGACTCCAAGGCTGGAGCTCTATCCACTGTGCCACCTACCTGCCCTAAAAATGTCTTAAAGTAGTTTGAACAGAAAATCTGTACTCTCTGAAGATTAAGTAGTTTAAAGGAAAAAATCACATAAAGAACAAGCAAAACTTGGTAGAAGGATGATAATGAAAATCTTCTTATGGATAGCTCCTTTATGCATGAAGTGACTGTAAGAAAGTTTCCATTAAAGAGTCAAGTCACCTTTCAATCAAGTCACATGTTCAACAGTGTTTACACAAAAGAACTACAAAAGACCTTGATGTGGAAGATTAAATTAACAATCCAATTTACAAAAACATCAGAGAATTCACGTGTATGGTATCGTAATGACCACTTATGGAACCCACTAGGTGAGAAACCCTCCACAACATGTGCTAAGCTTTTACTGGATTACAATTGATTGATTACAATTGAGATAACCTTGTATTTTTCTTACATAACATTTTGAAAAGAACTTAGCACATTGCCCTTAGCTAAGTTATTTTTTTTTAACTGAATATATCTGGGAAAAGCTTCCTGGAGGCCTTTACAAAAGAAAGAAGAAATTAACTGAAGACTTTAGTTTGTATCTTCAGGTTGAAGTAGTAAGTAATATTATTCAAAGGATGCACATTTTGCTTAAAAATTTTCTGGAATTTAAAAATCTGAGGAAAATAAATCACATATAATTCTCTGATCTTGTCAGTGTTTATACACTGTGGGATTTTTTAAAATAGTGAATTTTAAAAATGTATTCAAGTTTTCCAAGCTGATTCTGTACTCTCAAAGTACAGCATAATACTCAAATAGCTCCGGGATCTCAATTTAGATGTCCCTACAACAGTGCAAATTACAAACTCCTCCATACTAACCTACCCATCCTTTATGATGTTTATCCATGACCTCAAATTAAGTTCATCCATTTAATATTTTCCTTATAGATAGTTAGGTCAGAAACGTTTTGAGTGGCTACTCTTCCAGGAGGCTCTACAGGGTTCCAGGACTTGATGCAACCAATAAAATATCATCTGCAAACAGAAGCATTTTTAGGACTTTAACATCTGCAAGCAAATGGGATCGGCAGATTTTTTTTTTTAATACATAAGAGGATCCTTTAAGATATTTTTCATTTTGTCCATGTTTAGACAGACATGAATTTGCTACAAGATTGTAATAGGAACGTTAAATATAATCAATATCTTTCAAGTTTTAAGAACGTTTTCCTTTGCTTGCAGCCATTCCTCCATTTATAATGAACACTTTGGAGAAGAAAGCATTCTTAAAGGTAAGTCTATTTATGGCATCTTTTCACTTGTTTTTTATATGTTAAACTTCCCAGGCTACCTCCAGCATTTCACCTTTCAGTTAATCCCCTATTCACATGCAAACTGATGAAAGAATAAGAAGTATTTGAGTAAAATTTTTCTGTTCAAATAAAAATATATTCCGTATTTCCAGACACATTTTCTTCAGAAATTTGAAAAGTTTCCAGAGATGTAATAAGCCTACTACTTCTGTTGAGCTGTTAGACCTTACTGAACACTCATCTTGAGCTTTAACTGAATGTTTATGTAAAAGTGAAAGGGAGGGGTAGAATTTGGATTAGTAAACATAAAAGTTAACTCTACAGAACATTCTGAATGAGCACTACCTTTCCTCCTTAAATACTCTGCCTATAGCTTATCTGATGGCCCCATCAGGAATCTAGTAAACCACATTGATGACCATGACCCAATACTGTAAGTTATAACATGAATCATTTCATTTATTTTGTATTTGAAAACTGGTATCCAGGTTTTATTCTTTGATAGAATAGGATCCAGCTCAAGAAAAACAAGGAATTTATGATGATTCGGAATAAAATCTTCACTTTTGAAAGTGGTGTTGTAATACAAGAACTACACTTTCAGAGAAAAGGAAATATTTCCACTTATCATGGCAGCCCCATCCCCTTGGAGTGGCATTTGTAAAAATTGTTTTTAATAAATTCAGTTCAGTTAGTCAGCAAGCATTTGTTAAGAACTTACTATCTGCTCGGTGTAGAGGAAAGAAATTCAAAAGATGATGCGATCCCTCCTTTCAAAGAGTTTACATTCTAGAAGAGACAGTGACTGAGTGTGTGTGTGTGTGTGTGTGTGTGTGTATGTATGGCATGAATATAAGGAGAATAAAAGCAAATTAATACAAAGTAGTTAAACAGAAGGTAGTTTTAGGAGGGAGGCATTTGGGGGATTGGGAAAAGCTTCACCTTTTATACACATTAGTGTGATGTTTTAATCACTATGTAAATACATTGAGTAAGGTCATTTTATAATGGTAAGTTAAGACATGTAAAGAGGTGTATTAACTTTTCAAGTCTCTGAAGTATCATTTGATGCACAATAACATTGATTGAGAATGTCTAGAATGTCAACACTCCATTTCATCAAACATTATCATAATTTCTTTTATGGTGGGATGCTGTACAAGGTGCTCCGGGAGACAGAAAATAAGAACTATATGATCCCTGTCTCTGGCACCTCATGATCTAGTCTGCAAGGGGACAGTTCATCCAATGTAATCAATAAATATGGTGACAGAATGGAAAAGTTTTTGTCACAATGAAGTCTCTATTTTCCTCAGATAAATTTAGGCTTTGGAAAGAGAATATAAATTTTAGGGTTGTGTGGGTGTATGCATGTTTGCATATATATGCATATATATGTATATATATTCATACATACATATATATATACACATACATACATATATATAGATATATATATAAGCATGTGTGTATGTGTATATATTTATATACACATTGAACCAGGCTGCCATTTATTTACAAGTGGTTGGTTATTAGACTTCTCATTCTTATATTTCTTGAGATATAATATCATGCACAACTTTGGAAGCATCAGAGAGGTCACAAACATGCATAAGAGTCACGCACTCCCTTCCCATCACAAAAATAAAAAAATTTGTAAAACAGATGTTTCAGAGTAAGGCCTGAGTTGATAATGTGTGCATGAGAACAGTATTATATCAGTTCAACTTTTTTGGAAGAGGGAAAGAAGATTGAATTTGGCAACCAACTACCTAGTGTTTAACCTACAGTATAACCAATGTGTGGCTATTATGAATTTTACAGATGAATTTGAAAGTGATTTCTTCAAGGCCATATAATGTTCAGTGGCACCATCATGGTCGTTTTTGCTCTCCTGCTCCTTTCTCTCAGCCTCTCAAACTGTGAGTTCAGGTGAACAAAGCTATTCAGGTAGTTTTTGGCTGTTTCCCATAGTTTAGCTATAAAATGAATTAGCAGTGAGCTTTGATTTAACCAGCACGTTCATGTCTTTTCATGACTTTCAAAAGTCCATTATTTCATAGAGCCTGGCTCCAATGCAGTGACAGCACTTCCAATCTGCTTTATTAACAGACATGCACCCATTAACATCGTATATGACTGATTTTACAAAGAAATGTGCATTTCTCTTTTAGAACCTTTTTAAAATGGGAAAATTTGTTTTTTTGACTAATTGAAGATGGAGGAGTGGGAGGGCAGTTGGTTCAATGCAAGTATTATGCAAGTATTACTTCATTATTGTCATGACTTTGAGTTTTGTTCTTTCTGAGTTTCAGTAATCGTGGGATGACTATACTTTTATCACAATATTAAAACTACAAAGGATCTAAAAGTTCATCCAGGCCAAATGTTTCATTCTGCAGGTGTAAAAACAGTCCCAGAGAGAATAAAGAACTTGCCCGAGGTCACATTAAGTCCTGAGAGGCAGAACTAGGACTTGATACTTAATTCAGACTCTTCCAGGCTTTCTTTAAATAGGACATAACTGTGTCCATTGAATAATTCCTTCCATTGGCAAGTGGAAGCTATTTTATTTCTCTGTATGAAGAGACAGGCCAGTGATGCAAATATGAAGATGGTACAGTAGAAGAAGGCTGGCTTTGGAGTGAGAGGACCTCAAATACCACCTCAACTACTTGCTATCTGTAATCTTGGACAAGTCACAACCTCTTAGACCTTTCAGTGTCTTCATCTGTAAAATGGGGTTAGAGTAGACAGCTGTTGAAGTGTCTTCTATTTCTAGATCTATGATCTTATGAATCCCTCTCAACCCTTTTATATGCTTCCTGAAGGGCTGTCATGGAATAAAATGAGGAGGTTTGCCTGTTATCTGCAAAGCACATCGTACATGCTTGAATCATAGGATCATAGGGCTAGAGAGACCTTAAATATCTAGTTCAGCTCCCTTGTTTGCTAGATGAAGAAGCTGTCAAACATGTATTACATATGGCCTCTTTTCTCTGTTCTGATGGCCATCACGTTGTGCCTAGATTAATACTTTAGCCTCAGTTTTTCAGCAAAGTTAAACTAATTCCTTGCTTGTTAGCACATCAATTCATAATTAGGTTGGGCAGGTAGTCACAAACCACTCTCATGCCTCAGGCTTCTTTTCTTTGCTTGCAGGAAAATCTTTTATCCCACCTCATGTATCAAGGAGTTCTTGGAATAGGAATTCTCCAGCACAGTGTGAGAAAAATGGAAGCAGTAGTGGGATATAGTGAAAAGAGCCCTGGACTCAAAAGTCAGAAGATATAGATTTCAAGTCTGGCTCTGCTATTTGTTAACTGTGTGACCTTGGGCAAGTAATCTCTTTTCTGTGAGCTTCAGTTTCCCATTCTGTTGTGATTGGAAGAAAAGAAAGAATGGAGTAGCAGAGCTAGAATTAGAGATGGTAGTCTCCATACCAATTATTACTTTATGGTGGTGTTTACATTATGCCTTAGTAGAAGGTTTTGCTTTGCAGAAGCTATTGATTGATTCTGTGTGGTGTGCTCTCCTCTGTCCCTCCCCCCACCTTTTCTACATTGCTAGGTTTCAGTGGTAGGTTAACTGATGGATTTTGTCAACATAGAGAAGTCCTCCAAATGTGATGTTACTAGGAAAGATCTTAAAATCTCATCAGTGAAAAGTTCATATTGGCCTCAATTGCCACATTGGGCTTATAAATTCATAATACCATTGTAGCTGTTAGTCACTGCAGTCAATGAAGAGAATTCCTAGAGGTGGAAGCCATGGTCTTCTGGGTTGTTTTCTTAATTGAATCTTTTGAGGATCCATGCTTTTGTTCTCCCCCCATAACTGCAGATCATAAAACCTAGAACACATAAATCTTGAGTTTCTAAGGCCAAAAAAGGAACATCTTGTGGCTTTCTTTGGAGAGCCTTTCCACTCTTAGCCTCATTCTCACTAGGGAAGAAGAGTAGGTGGTACAGTATAAAAATTGCTGGTTCTGGGGTCAGAAGACCTGGGTTCAATTGTGACTTTTGTGGTGTGGCCCTGGACATGTAATTATAACTTTCTGGTCATTAGTTTCCTTATTTGCAAAATGAGAGGGTAGGACTACATGAGTTCCTAAGGTCTTCTCAGACTAATTCTTTGGTATTATGATAAACACATAATTTGTTGCCAAGCCCTAGTCAAAAGGCTTTCCAGTTTGATAAGTCTTGCTGTAGTTGTACCTTGTTGGCATAACCTCTCAGCATCAAGCGTCTTCTCCATCCCATGGAAAAAAGGAGGAATTTAATTGAGGATTGCTTTTTTTTCCTATTGTTTTTTAAACCATGGAGAAATTATTGAGTGGGTGGTAAACTTCCTTATTCCATAATTTTCTGATTCATTGCTTCTTTCTATATGACGCAGTTCAGCATGACCAATCTTAATCTAGAATTCAATCATAGGTTTTCAAAGCTGGATTGATCCTTAGATCTTAAATCCAGTCTCCTCAATAGACAAATGAGGAGGAAACTAAGTCTTGGAGAAGAGAAATGACTTGCCCAAAATCGTACAGTGAGGTAGTGGGAAGGCCTCTATTAGAACTCAGATATCCTTTGATTTTTCTGTGATACCATGATGTCATAGTGTTTCTAAATGTCAGGGAACATTGGTAGCATTTTTTGTGTCCTACAGTTTTATTCTTCCAACAGGGGGTCAGGTCTTCAATCTGACCCATGTATCTCTATTTTCTTATCTTTTCCAAAAGAATTAATTGGAGAAAACATCAGGAGTGAGAAGGTGGCAAAATACTTATTGCACAAAATTTGATGTGTTTATGAATGTTTATTCATTAAGAATGGTTTCCATGGGAGGCAGTTAGGTGGCATAGTGGATGGAGCACTGGCCCTGGAGTCAGAAGGACCAGAGTTCAAATCCGGCCTCAGACACGTAACAGTTACTAGCTTTGTGACCCTGGGCAAGTCACTTAACCCCATTGCCTAGCCAAAAAAAAAAAAAAAAAAAAGAATGGTTTCCGTAATCTTTCTGATGAACTGTCATTAGTAATTAAATTTTTGACATCTCGATTAAATAATGATTCACTCCAAATTTTAATTTAAAAAAATTGTTCCTTCATAAAAGTATCTTGACTATCTATTCATTGTATGATTATCTCGGTTGGTTAACACATTATACAAAATATACCAAGTTGCAGGTTTGACCTCTGTACAAAATACGTACAAGAAATCTCATATTCCATGGATTTAGACTGAATTTCCTATTTCCTAACAGACTAATGGAGGGAATATGATGTTGAGCCACACTAGAAATTAATCTCATTGTTTTATAATTATACTACATAGATTTAGAGCTAGGAGGGACTTTTAGAGGCCATCTTTCTCGTTCAACCTCATCATTTTACAGATCAGGAAACTGAAGCATACAGAAGCTAAATAACTTGCCCAAGGTCATATAGTCAAAGAGCTAAGATTTGAACTCAGGGTCTCTTGATTCTAAAACCAGGAGATTTTCCATTGTTCCAGGGGTTTTCTCACAAAATGCCCAAAGCTTATTTTTATTACTACTACTACCTGGTGGTGAGTCAAATCTTTCATCTTCGTATATGGAAGACTGCACATTTAATTTAAATTCAAGTTAGGGAGAGTTTTAGATTGTCAGAGTTGGAAGGGCTCCTTAAAACATAGAATGTTAGATAGACCTGGAAAGGCCCTTAGAGATCATCCAGTTCAACCGCTCATTTTACACAAGAGGAAAATCAGAATAGATGAATAAATTATGTCCTAATCAGTACCTCAAAACTAGCTTTTGATAGTCTGAGGATTAGAACCTGAATGTGAATCCAGGGACAGTGCCATTTTCACTGTACCATAATTCTTCTTAAAATGCCTTGAAACTACTGTGACCTACAAAATTTACAGTTTCTACTGCTTATGTTGGTAATCAATTTATCCTATTTCTCATAAGTTATTCTTTACATATTTAAGAAAAATGTAAAGTTTATTGAAAGGAATTTTAATCCTTCAAAAGATTTAGACCACTGATTATTTACCAACATTAACTTCTAAATCACTTCTGTTTTGTTTTTTGAATGGGATAGTGAGTAAAAAACTTAATGGAGGAAGATACGAATGCAGAGAGATAAGGTTGAGAAGGAAGCATATATAACTTCTGTAAATTCCTGAAGGTGGGAGATGAGAATAACTGAAGTCCAGATGGGCCGGAAAGATAAATTGGAGTCAATTTGTATTGTACCTTAGATGTCAAATTGAGGAATTTATATATTACCCTAGAGGCAATAAAGATCCAGTGAAGGTTTTTGGTCAAAGGAATGTCATTGTGAAGCCTTTGCCTTAAAATATTACCAGAACTGTGTGGGGGATTAATTGAAGGGAGAACTTTAAAGTGGGGACACCAAATAGGAATCTAATGTAGTATCTAGTCAAGAGGTGATAAGAATCTGAACTGGGATGGTAACCATATGAGGAGAAAGAAGGGGCCAAATGTATGATGAGTGTCCTTAACTTTCTCCAACACACACAGCAACTACAATTAATGTTTTTTTCAGAATTCTCTGAGATCAGTCCTAACTGTCATCTTTTGCACATTAAGACATTCATTTGTCAAATTGTACAAAACTTAAGGTAGTATGTTATTGTCTTCTGACCAAGTCACTACGTTGGCTTGGGAAAGTACCTAATCATTGGGGTCAACTTATCTTGGGAATTAAATGTCATCATCTTGCCTCATGTGTTTGCAAATTCTATCTTCTTTATTAAGCATTCTTAAGATCCATCAATCCTGAAAGCTCATACAGGGAGTGATAGTGTGCACATAATATGTCTGGGAAATTTGGGAATAATAATAGCAACTTATATTCCTATAATATGAAGATTTGTAAAGCACTTTATTCGTAATAATGAGATAGTTAATTGCAAATATTATTACCCCCATTTTAAAGTTGAGAAATCTGAGGGTCAGGGAGGTTAAATGACTTGAATGATCATGCAACCAGTCAGTTTGGGAGACAGAATTTGAACTCAAGTACCCTGACTAAAGTCTAGTGCTCTTTTGGGTTTATTATCACTAAGCAAGAAAATCAATCATTGGCAGTGCCTAACTAAGATCTAATCAGTTCCCCAACTCTCCATCATTTTTGGAAAAACCTGCCTCAATTTTTAGTTCCGATTTATAGTGTAATCAGTTAACAATTTGTCGAGAACCTACTACACATTTAGGCTTTACATAGGGCCAGGCACTGTACTAGGCACTGGAGTGTATTACTCATAGTAATAATTAATCTCTTTTCATTTTTACCTCTTTCTGGTAACTTTGCTAATTCACACAAATATTCTTTTGTAAGATCTTTTGTCTTTGTCTTCTCTTCTCTCCAAACTTAGGCCTGAATCTCAAAACATGTCTGTTGTATAGATTCTAACTTAACTGTTTTCATTAAAACAAACTGATTGATTTATTTTAGCCATTTCTAGTGGTCCACAAGTGTTCATCATTGAGAGATGGATTCATGCTTTTGTGGTTATGGTAACAGTAATTCTTAAGTATTTTAACTAGGTCTATTTGTTTACCTTCTTTATTAACCTAAAATTCCAACAGCCTTTTGTGTTTCCTTAACCAAAGACCAGCAAACTTACTCCACTTAACTATGTTCTCATTAACAAAACAAATAACAACAAAAAGATGTTATGGACATTACTTACACTGGTGGCATCAACCATAATGAAATTAACCAAAGTTAATTTATGATTGAATTGCAGCACAGATTTTTTGTATGCAAGTATTAATTAAGGTCACTTGACCTTTGATTACTTACCCATCTGTAGATTTTAGATGGGGATAAAAAGCCTGAGCTGGCAGCTGGCAGTATTATACAAAAATTGTATAGTGGCTGCCCTAAATCAGGTCTTTCATCAACATAAGAAATTGTCCACAAATATCTGGTGCAAAAGAATTTTGATTGTTAATTTACTTCTACAGAGGTTCCCCTGGATGAGTGCCCCCATTCAAGTTGGATTAGTTGGCTTCTGGTGAGTAATACTCTGATTCTGTTGCTTTTAAGGGATAAAGTATATTAGAGGTTATAGAGGGAGTATAGGGAGGGAAGATAGAATGTGAAACCAAGCTGGTTGGCCAATAGTGGAATAGAGACTATACAGGAGAAGCTTAGCTTAACTTGGTCTCTGTTTTCATTAGATCATTTTGTATGGTATTTTATTTTAAACAAGTTATTTGAAGAAAACACAAAGTAGCGGAGAGATAGCTATTTAATCATAGTTTGTCTATTTTTTTTTCTAATGAAAATTGCGTATCATGACTACCATCTGAATAATAAACCCTACGTCTTCTATGATGAGAAAAAATCTCTTTGTTCTTTTTTAGTTTGGTGTTTGCTACACCTTTATGCTGTGCATTGTTTCCTCAGAAAAGGTAACTTATTTAGTACTATTGGTTATTTTATTTGGAGAAATATCAATTTAGAAAGATTGGAGTCTTAATTTAGATTGGGTCCAGGTTTCTTTTAATAGAAAGGAAAGAAATGTTGGGTTTTGAAGGGATTGTGAAAGAATTAACTAATGTTAATAAGGCATGCATTAACTCAAGTACAAATTTGCTTTTAAGATTTAAATAAGGGGCAGCTAGGTGGCACAGTGGATAGAGCTCCGGCCTAGGAGTGAGGGGGACCTGAGTTCAAATCCACCCTCAGACACTTGACACTAGCTGTTTGACCCTGGGCAAGTCACTTAACCCTGACTGCCTCACCAAAAAAGGCAAAAAAAAAAAGATTTAAATCAAATCAAATCAAACTCAATATATACCTTAGTTCATTAGAACTAATAAAGTGCTGCATCATCATAACTTTACTGAGAGATTCTTTTGATGTCTCCATATGATTAATCCGACTGCCAAAGCAAAAAAAAAAAGCTACTTAAAAAAAAGCAAAGACAAAATGCACTTCTGTGAACTTCAGTTTCTTCAACTGTAAAATGAGGATTATAATATGTAGGTTGCTGCCCTCACAACTTCGTCATGGAGAAAGTGTTTTGTATATAGTGAAGTACTCTAGAAACATGAGATTTGTCCATCCACACAGCTGGTAAATATTTTAGTTGGGAGCCTGAACTCAGGTCTCCTGATTGAAAGTCCAGTATCTTCCTACGTAAAATTATTTCAGAGATCCATGATTTCAACAATGTCAAGACTCTATAGTTCTAGTGGACAGTCTTCATCTGCTACTGTGGTTAAAAAAAAAACCAAACTCATTATCTGGTGACTGACTCTTTGGTTAATGAGTCGTTCTGCAATTAGTCTGGTCCTTAAATGGCAGACACAATCTGTCATCAGAACCATATCCAAAGGCTTTCTAGATTAGTAAGACCGTAATGCAGCCTTCCTTCGAGAAGCCAGGCTTGCCTGTTAATCATATGGAGACGTCAAAAGAATCTCAGTAAAGTTATGATGATGCAGCACTTTCTTAGTTCTAATGAACTGAGATATATATTGAGTTTGATTTGATTTTATTTAATTTTTTTTTTTTTTGCCCTTTTTGGTGAAGCAATCGAGGTTAAGTGACTTACCCAGAGTCATACAGCTAGTAAGTGTCAGGTGTCTGAGGGCAGATTTGAACTCAGGTCCTTCTGACTTCAAGGTCGGAGCTCTATCCACTGTGCCACCTAGCTGCCCCCTTTGCTTATTATAATCACTATTTTACCCTCAGTAGAACAAAACTGAATTGTTACATGTCTTGCATTTACAATTTATATTTTGGGGAGTACATGAAATCTTTCCTAGTCATGCTTTTTCTTAAATATGTAGACTAAAGTTTTAGAAATTACAAGAAGCTATGTTTTGTTTTTATTTTTCTCTCGTGATAAGATACTTTGTTTCTGACCTAGTTATGATAAAAACATGTAAATACTTACTGTGTACAGAGTTTTGTGCCAGGTGCTTAAGAAAATAAAACGTTATAGACATGGACCCTGATTTCTTGTAGCTTTCAGTCTAAAAAGGGGATAAGACAGGTAAAATTATAATATACAGCATTTCATAGGTACAATAGAAAGAAAACAAAATATTTTATGTGCTCTGAGGGAGGAGAGGATTACTCCATAAAATCAGAGAAAACCTCGTGGGGAAGGTGGCATTTGAGTTGGGCTTTAAAGGAGAGTAGGAAATCAACTGGAAAAGGGGAAGGAGGGGAGGATGTTTTTAACCAAAAAGTCAAATAATATTCAACCTATATCAATTCATTCCTGACTCCCTGATCTGTATGTATGCTTGATTTCACTTCTTGAATTCTGGTCAAGTCATAACTTTACCATTTCTTTCACATTCAGTTCGATGTCTGTTACACGCTTGGAGCCAGAATTGAAAGCCAAGATTCAAGAGACCAGTCCTGAAATAGAACGTGTGTACTTTAATAAGGGATTATAAATTGGGAGAAGACTTGAACATTTTAAGGATAATCATGCAAACCCAAATACATTATGCCAGTGTGGGTAAAAAGAACTCTTTCACTTGTGTTCTTATAACTAGTTAATTATTCCATAGTGTCCAAATTTACCTTATTGACTAAATCTGTTACTTAAAATTATACCTTAATGCTAAGGACCTTGTTATCCTTGTGAGCAAACCCATCCTGTCACTTTTAGGGTTACTGTTTTGGAAGAAACTTTTAACAGCCCACATCCAGCGCAAAACCGGGCACACACTAGGCACTTGAGAAATATTTTTTGATCAATTGATTAAAAAAAGTTTACATTAAATATCAAGCAATGGAAGGTGATTAAAAAAAAATAGATCCAGCTTGCATCCCCCCTCAAGAGGACCTCCACACACAGAAGGGATTCAGAGCAGGCCAGAGATTAAGAGGATGGAATGCTGAAATCATCACTCTTGACATGCAGCCTGCCGCTGCCTCTGTTACATGCAGCACAGACCCAGATTTCTACTTTTTTCTATAGGCTCAAATCAAAAGATAATTTACAGGCCTTTTTGTTTAATAAAATAAAGGCTAACCTTATAAGCTCTCTCCTCTTGGTAATTTTTTCATTTGACAGTATGGATAATAAATTTCTTTTGGTATATCCCTTTGTTTTTAAATTCCTAAGGAGGCATCCACGTTCCTCTGTAATAGTTGCTATTATTTACACTATTACTAATTACTTAAATACATTATTTAAAATCATTTAAAGCTATCAAACTTACAGTGTATCAATACTGTATCTTAAAAGTGTATTAAAAACTAATATTTAATCAAGATTTTCTGATTTTCTAAAATTAGTATTTCAGCAAGCATTTGCTTATGTGTCCAGTTCTTTATGTTGGCTTTTATTTCAAGCTTTTCTTGGCTTTTAGAAAGACCAAGAAAACCTTGTATTTTATTAATCAGTTAGTGACCTTACAAACTGTACTTGAATGTTCTCTATTACATTCCATCTTCTGTTTGAATGTAGTCAGTATGCACGCCCCTCTTTATTTCATCTGTAACAACTGGCAGTGTAATATATTTGATATGGGATTAGACATTAAATTCAAATTTGTAGGTGTTCAGAGTAATATACAAGATGATTGAGTGTATCACTGAAAGTAGATTCTCGTTATGCAGAGCCTAAAGATAGCTAATGTGTGGACATTTAGAAAACAGTAGAATACTGAGATATTTTTACTGTGTGATCAGAGTAAATTTTCTCACAAACAAGATTTTTTTTACTTGTTTCTGTGTTTTTCATCTGAAAGGATTAACAGATCTGAAGCTTTAGTCTCCTAGAATGATCTTTACCTGTATCTCTTCCATCATTCTTTCACCTCACATTTTTGTCTTAAAACTGTCTAGATGGAGAAAAATGGTTTCCCCAGGGCATTCTGACATTGGGTATATTTTATTGCAATAAACATGTCTAGAAAAATCTGACATTCCACACAGACCTTTGCAGTTTGCTTGATGGCTCTTTGATTAATTATGTGCATAAGCTCAAATAAGGATGCAAAGAAACCTCACGTAGCATTCATGATGGTGGACTTCTGTTTAAGTGAACTGATTTCCAGATATTCTGTTTGCCTCAATTGACCTTGAAAGCCTCCCTGGTAATTCATTTGTATCATTATTTCAAGAACCTAATAGATGATTTGTATAAAGTGTGTGTCTTTCACTAGTAAAAGACATATACTCATTGAAAACTGATAAATTATACACTCTTAAGAAAATGTGACCAAAGCACAGACATAAAGATGACAAATATCATGGATATATTTTTTTTTAGGTTTGTTTATTGAAGCTTCAGACTATTAATGGTTTTCAGCAGATCATTTATCTGTACAGTTTCATGGTATTAATAAGAAGAACAAATGAGCAAAGCTCAGGCAATTTATGCTGGTCTTATAGAAAAAAATGTGTTTTTTTTAAAAATTTAAATAAAGTGCAATAAGATCCTAAAGCTGGTAAAGATGAATAGTTATTAATATTTCTATTAATGCTCTAAAAGAGGAATATAATTTTAAGTGATGGCAGTGACTGATGTTATTAATTTCAGTATTAGCACAATGTCTTGCCAGTGTTGATGGAGTCAATGTACTATTTAAATTCAACTGGATGAAATATTAAATAAACTCAAATTGAAATAAAATTGTCTTTTTTTTAACTGTGTAGTCCAGATAAATATAATCTTAAATTTTAGTTAATGGTTGCATACATTTAAGCACAATACTCTGAATCACCATCAGTAACTTAAAATTCCTGATGAGAAACTAGTCGTTATGTTTGTACATTCTTTAAAGAATATGTTTCTGCTTTTGGTAATAATTCTCCCCATTTCTTTCTTAATGAAATTATCTTAGACCAAAAGAGTCTGTGAAAAGAACTTGGTTTTTTTTTAAATGTTTGAACTCCAGCAAAGCCAGTATTTTAACTATGGTAGTTAACAGAACAAATCCAAATTAACAAGTCTGAAGAAATTGCAAAGGAAAAATTGTTTCATTAAATTTTCCCTTGGTCAAACCATCTATTCTGTGGTAGTTATTTAAGGTATTTGTTTAAAATGTGCTGGGGATGCTGGGTTTGTTGTTGTTGTTTAGTCATTTCACTTGTGCCTAGGCAACTCTTCATGACCCCATTTGGGGTTTTCTTGAAAAAGATACTGGAGTGGTTTGCCATTTCATTTTCCAGCTCATTTTACAGATGAGAAAGCTGAGGCAAGCAGGATTAAGTGACTTGTCCAGGGTCACACAGCTAGTATCTAAGATCAGATTTGAACTCAGGAAGATGATCCTTTCTGACTCCAGACCCGATATGTGCCCCTGGGCTGCTGAGTGCATGGGCCAAATGCTGATGTAGCATTGTTACTGCTTTTAACTTTTAAAACCCAATAAGAGTTAAGGGAAAAGGAAAAAAAAAACATATAGTCCACGTAAATGTAAGACTCAGCCGGTTTTGTCCCGTTCCTGTAATGATTGCCATATAATGTCGTAGTAGCAAAGGACCTTAGAGGTCTTCTAGGTCAATCCCATCATTTGACAGAAAGGGAAAACCCTTTTTAGATTCATTAGAACACTCTGTGATAGGCTGTATGGAGTAGTAAATAGAGCCCTAGCTTTGGAAGTAGGATGACCCAGGTTCAAACATTGCCTCTGACATATCCTGGCTGTTTAATTTGGATCCATGCCATAAGGAATGCTAAGGCTTAGAGAAGAGTTGCTCATATGTATTAGTGGGTAGAGCTCAGATAAGGTCATAAGGGGCTCTTAAAACAACACCAACTCAATGTCAGCAAAAAGGATTAGAATGAACCATTGTTAATATAAATATGTATTCTGTGTAAGAAAAGTCTCTGAAAATGGAGACTATCCTTGCCATTTCAATTACAATAAATGATAAATGGATCTAGTCACACCTGTGCATGATTCATCATTTATCCATACTTCTACAGGAAGAAATTCCTACAATATTGAGTCATTTCCGTCACGTCCAATTCTCTGTGACCCCAATTGGGGTTTTCTTAGCAAAGGTACTATAATGTTTTCCATTCCCTTCTCTAGCTCATATTTCAGATGAGGCACTGAGGGAAACAGGTTTAAGTGACTTGCCCAGGATCACCCACTTTGTAAGTGTGAGGCAGGTCCTCCTAATTCCAGGCCTGGGGCTCCATCTACTCTGCCACTTAACTGTCAATTGATACAGTAATAGCACCTCCAAACATGAGGTGGATCATAGCAGTCACATAAGTTACTGACTAAAGATTTAAATGATAATACCAGAAGATACTGAGGTAGTTGTAGTACAATTATAAATATTATAATGAAATAATACCTGGCATTTCAGGATTTAGAGTTTTGTTTATACATTATCTACTTTGAGCCTTATAACACCACTGTGCAGTACCATAGGTGTCATCTCCATTCTATAGATGAGAAAACTGAGGCTCCTAGAAATGTGACTTGATTCACAACTAGTATGTATTTAGAGGCAGAATTCATACTTAGAGTTCTCCTAAGTCTGAGTTCAGTGCATTTTCCAATATTCTGATACTATAAAACACTGGTGTCAAACTTAAGTAGAAACAGGCCACTAAACTATGAGGATCCATGTGGACTGCATATTGACCTCAATAACCACGTGTTTATATATGAACTTATCAACATTAAAATCAGATAGCAACTGCATTTTAATCTGCTTGGGGCCATAGTTGAGAGTGTTATGGATTGCATGTTGCCCACGGACTGCATCGGCTGTAGAATATCAAAACTAGAGCCAGAAGCTATTAGTTCATATCTCAACTCTGCTGCTTATTTGAGAAAGTCAGCCTTGCTGAGCCTCAATTTCTTCATCTGTAAAATTGTAATAATACCTGCCCTACCTCACAGAGAAGGTAATTTGTGAGGACTGAAAAAAAGCACATAAATGCGTATATGTGTATGTCTATGCATGTATATAAAAGTATGTGCTTGTATGCTTGTGTATATATGTATGTATGATATACAAATGTGTATGTAAATAGATGTCCATATAAATATAGATGGACTGGTCACATGAAGAGTGTTGGATGACAAGTGGACTGCCAGGCTATCCCACTGTTGCCTTTACAATGTCAGGAAAAGGCAAAAGAGGCTTCCAGTACATTGGATAGACTCCCTGTGGGAAACTTGTGAGAAAAAATGGACAAGATTCACGCAGTCTGTGAAGGCACAAATAGATTGTGATCTACCATTGAAAGGAATTCCCAAATTGATCAAGACCACATCAATTTGAGCATTTCAGAGTAAACAAATCAGCTTACTCATATTGGCTGACCATTAAGCATCTTAGCCAGAGGGAGAACTGAATTGGGAGTAGTGAATAGGATAGAGTAGTCTACACTGTTTTAATTTCTGTATCTAAAAATTAGTATTTTGTGTGGATTGACTTCTAATAGCCCTTTCAACTCTGAAATTCTGTTGCTTATTTGACTAGTTTGTTTATATTTATTGAGATTGTATTAAGTTTATAGAGCAGGGGAAGGAGTACTGGATTTGGAATATAATGCCTTGAGTTTAGAGCCTGCCTTTGTCAGATACTTTTAGGTGACCTTGTTCACCTAACCACTCTGGGCCTTGGGTCCGTCTTCTCTAAAATGAGGAAACGGGACTATAAGGCCTTCAAGTTCCCATCTAAGTCTAAATCTATACTCTTGTGATCAGAATAAAACACGATGAAATAAATGGTATGGCTTGGATGGCTTCTGAGATCCTTTCCACCTCTAAAGTTCTGCTACCTAGAAAACTGTTTAAGGTGTAGGAAAATTCTTCATAGCCCTTAAAGTGGCCTCAGTTTGACCTAATATAATTCTATGATTACTCAGTAAACTCATTGAATCCTTCCTTTCAGAATCAGAAAGTCGAGCTCCAATTCTAGCTTTTGACACATGCTGATGGTATGTAACCCTGGGCAAGTAATTTACTTTCTCATTGCCCCCAATGAACTTTCTGACAGTAAATGTCAAAGGAGATCAAATCTGTTTATTGGTGGTGGCTGGGGTGGAACATGAAGGTGAGGAGGGCATAGTTTCCTCACAAGGAATTCCTAACTTTGAATAAATCACAAGTCTGGTCCACACCACCAGCCACCATACTTTCCAAGCTCCCCACCCAACACACACACAACATACAAATGGGTAAGACTTTTAGAAATTGTTTCAGGATGTCTTTAGTGTTCATTTTATTGTTAGAAGTACCATAATTGTTCTAAAAGTTAGTCCCTGGTAGTTTAGTTTAGATAGTGGAACAAAGTGAGACACTCAATTCATTCAACAAGTAACAAAAAGATTTAATTAGCCATTAGCAGGAGTATGTTATTCCCCAAGAATCAACATTGAGGACACCTCAAATTAGTTCAGCTGAGTAAAGTTCCCTTGCCTGTATTTACCCATTGGTTTACCCATCATAATCCACCAACCAAGCTTTTGAGCGCCCCTGAAATTTCTTGTGGCTGCTTTGTACTAAGGTTCTAAAGGAATTATGATTTTCATATTAATATGATATGTGTAATGAATATACTAATAGATTTCTCAGAATTGCCTCTTCTGGCTTGGGAGTAAAGGGGCCATCTCTTGACTTACTTCTTAAAGAGGCCTGTTCACCGAATGGGTGTTGCCTCATTCAAAATGAGAACTTGAAAAGACCTTAGCTTAAAAAGGCCAAGGTCTCCCATTGCATCCTGGGTCATCTCCAGTCATCCTGATCGATATCTGGCCACTGGACCCAGATGACTGGAGGAAAAAGTGAGGCTGATGACTTTGCACAGCCCTCCCTCCTCAAATTAATTTCAATTAGAAGTCTTGTCATCATCTCCCTGATGTCATGGTCCTCCTCGAGAATGAAGGACAAACCACACAGACTTACAGTGCAGCTTGACTATGCACCATACCTTGCTGCCCAGGTGGTCAAAGCAATGATGCTTCCAGTGAGGTCTGAGGGATCAGCTCTTGGTGGAAAAGGTCTCCCTCCAGCGGACAGATACGTATGGCTTCTGTTGCATGGTGTCATACTAATGACAATGCCTATGTTTTCACTTCTGGTTTGAGAAAAATTTTGACATGTCTACCAAAAAGAATTTCATTGCTACTGAAATAGAGTTTAACTATGAACCTAAATAATTCCATCTTGGTTTTAACAAGACTACTGTAGTTTGCCTGGAAGGGCAGGATATATAGATATAGATACACACATATGTATATATATATATATATACACACATATATGTATATATACATATATGTGTATATATATATGAATAAACAATGCTTATCTGTGAAGAACTCCCTATATGCTATACTCTGAATAAATATTTATTAATTGTAGTCAATCACTTATATCTCACCTACATATCCTGTATTAATTATTCTGAACCTGTGTCTTGTGAAAGCAGAAGTTCCTTAGGGATGAAAATGTTTTTATCCCATGTATTTCTGAGGGTTCTTAATGGTGAGGATGTTTTTACTCTCCTACATTCCCACATCCTTTAGTAAAATGTTTTGTCATAGAAAATATTTTATTAGTGTAGCCAGTCAGAAGAGTCGGTAAGAATTTACTTTGATTTTACTGTATCTTATGTTTAAAAGACTAGAAAAAAAATAATAAACCAAGTTGAGTTTGC